GTGTTTTTATTATGCGAAACGTTCACGAGTGTGGGTAGAGGCTTTTTAGGGACTGTCCATGCACTTGAAATTTTGAATTGGAACTTCTTAATTGAAAGCGCTTTCAAAATTTTGACCTTAGCTTAGAAGGAGCGAGAAACCCTCTCATCGAAGGAGTTCCATATTCATGCATGGCCCCAAAAACCGCTATTTGGAGTGGCAGAGAGCGGAACTTCCGCTAACCTTTTTCCCCCCTCACAGACCATCAGCTTTACAACAAAGTACGTTTCTGGAAGCCAAAATGACCACACCAGGAAGCATGACCATTACGAAAATCTTGGAGTGTGTACAGCTCTTAATTTCAAAATTAAGAATAGCAAAGTGTGAGTTGTAGTTACCTCAATCCTCCGATGTACTTCTGCTTTTCGTAAATTGTGACATCAGTGTATCCAAGTCTGGCCAAAAACGACGCGCATGATATTGAAGCCGGACCGCATCCTTGAATATAGAGCAAGGTGAAAGTATATATGAGCTAAAGCTGTACATTTTCACGTGATAAGTGTCAATTTACCTATAAGAGCAATAGGTGATGAATGGGACTCGTTTCTTTCCTCTCGAACTTCTTTGGAAACGATTTGACGAATATTCATCTTCTTGAAGACCTGAAGTCATCCCACAATCGTCAACAAGCAAAGCGCTCATTACAGCAGCAGTACTTATTAGTGAGGCTACATGGAAAAAATTCAAGACCTCGAGTTTGAGAGCCAATCGTTTCTGGATTTAGTCTAGGTTCTAATAAAAAACAAACTTTCGGCGTTCATCCTATAGCAATTTTCGAAAATCTCTCTTTCTACTTTGCCTTCCTGTCAATTATGCAGGGGTCCAAATACGTAATGATTCTCTTTCACCGCTTCGACACTCCCTCTTTTCATAGCAGGCTAGGCTGATTGCAGGACCTCCCGAGAATTAGTGTAAGGTCTTCTGTTGTGGTATCTGCGAGAGAAACACAAAGAACAGGGAATAGCCAAAGTTTTTTGTACTTGGTGCTCGAACATTAGAGTACCTAATGGTCAATTTGATGTAGATTGTTTTGAATTTCCACGAAGTTGTTGTAGAAGCTCTATTAGCTAACGTTTCGGCGATATCGCCTCCCTAAAAAATTGGATTAGAACCATATAGGTATATCCAAACGTCTCCAGAATCCTACAAAAGTTTGAGACCCCAAGAGCACGCACGTAACCCAAAGCAGGGCCAGTCACCGTTAAATCATCCAACGACCGATAGTTGGTACAGGTCAGCTGGGCTTGATCTTCATCGAAATCACTATTGCAAGGCGCACACTATATAAGGCTTCAGTTCTCACGTAATTGTTAGACATTCTTCCCTTCGGTTCATTTTGGGATTGGTGGCCTGTATTGAAAATGCCTCGAGGGTTTTGCCTGCCTCGCACAAAAACGATTCCCTTGCTGCGACCTCGCGCCTCTGTTATGCTATTCAATTCGGTGACTACCTAAGGCAGTAGACTATTTCAATCGCCTCATTCTATCTGTGCGCTCCTTAACCCTCGTGTAGAGTGGCCTTGCCGTTTCGCCAGTATACTCATCATCACAATCACGGTAAATAATTTTGTAGACCACCCCAGACATATTACAAACACCCTCCCTTCCAGCTGGACAGACCACGCCGTTTGAGGTTGTACATAGGCGATTGTATAACCTGTCCCAAACCAGGCACATCTCTAGATTAAAAGGGGGTACGTTTACAATAGCAACTAAATTTTCCATGAAGGCTTGACCCCATCAGAAATGAATGATAGTACAGAGGAAGTCTGTCCTTCAAACGAGGTACTACCATGTCTGATTATCACGCCAACAGAAGAAGCTCTACCTCTAGCTGGAAGATTGTAGCTGCCATTCAACCAAGCTACAGTAGGGCTCGAAAGTATTCGACCAAATGCTTTCACGCTTTTTCGGTCATAACTTTTTTTCTTAGCGGAGCAAATCGTGCGAAATGTTGATATGTTTAACTAAAGCATATTTCACACTACCCAACATTACTTGACTGCAAAGCAGCAATATCCGCATAACTAAGAGCGGTACTTCTTGCGGTAGTAGATCTTGCTAAAGGCAAAGTCATTGACGTCTACAGTTACGCGCACCTTATGTGCGTTATTCTTCTCTACTGTGTTCGGCATTAGCGTTCGTACACTTCAGGCTTGGCAGAAAGAAAAGAAGGTCCAGAAAGAACAATCATCTGTATTTCCAGTTGATTTTGAGTTCAAGCTCTTCGTGATATTCGGAACACGATCAGTTTGCAGGGTAATAGTGGTAAATATTCACAATACACCCATGCTATACGTATTGAAAATTTGCATAGTTTGATCCAGTAGGAAAGAAGTTACGACTGAAAAGTACAACTGAAGAATTTTGCCGAATACTTTTGAGCGTTACTGTGTATCGCGTGCCATTTTAAGCGGCGCGGCTCTTTTCGCTCATCCTCTCCAGTGCACATCTTCTCAGCAGTGCGAACATATTCCTAACCAGCGCTCGTCCTATGTAAAAAGGATGAGCTGAGTGATCAAGTACACGTAGAGATTCTTCTGACGGTGTGGTCCTCGGATGTGGTAGTACCTCGATTGAAGGAAAGACTCCTCTTGTACCATTTATTTCCTATGCACAAGATTGGCTTCTCCGCAGAGACTTTGCCCGTGCCCTAGGGGTCTCAACTTGAGTGGGTTGGTGGAACTGGAGCACTCCTTTAAAAGTGCGATACAGCCTGCCCTTGCTTATTGATATCATTTCGGTGCTGGCTGAGGAGCTCGAGCACGGCTCCCATAATAGACTCGTTGCTTACGTTTATAAAGGGCTGCTTCATTACAAGATTCCATAGCGCACGAATCACTTCGGTGTAATGCGTCAAGGCGGTCTCAAAACATTTGGGTGCTTGCTAGGTGGTTATAAATTTGAGAAGCTGCATCAAAATGGTGTTGAGAAACCATGCGGTTTGGTCAGTAGGACCACCCACGCAGCTTATGATGGAAGGGACTTTTACGGAGGTGAGACTAATAGAAGCCATGTCCAATGCTCCCGGAAACTTATGTGCTCTTATCAGCAGGTACAGGACTAGACAGCAAGGTGATTCAATTTTGACGCGCGTTATTATGCTGGCACTCAGTCCTGCTGATCGTACTTCAGTATCCCACATCCAGCTCAACCTACGCGCTACAAGCCGCGCTCGAAACTCTTTAGCAGAAGCTGGGCGGTAGAAGGATGTACCGCCAGGTGATGTTCCGTTATTTCATGGTCGAGCTGACTAGGGGTCACCACAAATTCGCAACCTTTTTCACTAACAGATAAACTTATAGTGCAAGACTTTATCAAGTCTCGTAGTTCTCTCACACGCCGTGCTTGCTTCCGCGAGATGCTAGACAGTGTGCTTTGCTTTCGGGAGCTTCCGTCTTATTACGTTTTGGGAGTCCAACGCATCCAAAGCCATAATGAAGGCGTTTTCGAGGTTACCGTGGAGGTCGTGGCACAGGAATCGCAATAGTGCGCGCACAAAACCTCGAGGCATCATGGATACAAGCCACCAATCCAAAAATAGATCGATGTAGGGGAAGGATGTTTCTTAATTACGCGGAATTTGAGGCCTTATACAGGTTGGCCCTTCCTTAGTGATTTCGATGAAGAGCAAGCGCAGCCGCCCTGGTCCAACTTTCGTCCAATGGGTGGTTTCGAGGATCCACGAACTTGCGGTGAGTCGCCCCTCAGATTACGCGCGCGCACCGGGAGGTCTCGGACTTCCGTAAAATTGTGGGAAGCTCTGGTCGGATATACACAGAATGTAGAATGTACACAGAAGCTCTGAAGAAGTCAATATCGCCGAAACCTTAGCCAGTAAACTTTCTATTACAAACTCGTGAGAGTTCAAAACAATCTACCTCAAACTACAGAAATGCCGAGGTTCATGGAACCCCGTATGTGGGGCCTATTGACTATTTTTGGGAGCTTTTGTGGCTTTGTCATACTTAACCAACTTTCATACAATAATAAAAGCAGGTATAAATTTCATTTTGGTAGATGTCGTAGAGTGTGATGTTCTCATAAAACTTAAGAACCATTTCAAATAGGAGCAACTGTACAACTACCATAAATAAGACTTGGGCTCTAAAACTGCTTGAATCCTCTTCCGGCCATACCGATAAAGGGTTTGAATGATGTAGAAACGGTCACAACTATGTTACCTCACAAGCGAATTGCTGAAGACCTCCTATATTAATAGGCCCTTCTTCGCTGGCCTGTAGATTACAACCGCCGACGCAAAGGTCTGAAGTGGGGCAGATCATTCCGCAGGTCAGTCCGAGCGGATTATCGCTCAAAATTTGGCGAGCAGATCCATAGTAATTCTAAAAAATGCAGTCAAGCGATAAAGACAAGAAGCCAAAATCTAATTTTAAGTGAAAAATTTTCAAATAGCGACCAGATACAAAGTAATAATTCGTTCAGACTTAATGTTCTTATCAACTGTTGTTATTTCGCCGCAGTCGATCCAGTCCGAAAGTCTCGCAAGGAACTCATACGTGCTCAAAATATGGTTCTTATATACCACAAAACTTTCTCACCTTATTTGATATACTAGTGATAAATGCTTTTACGTCCAGCTGAGTTGGGCAGCCCTTCTGACATGGAGCGTCAGCGCACTTGAGGCAACTAAATGTTTGAAGCTTTTACATTACCAGAGTTTTTACTAAGAGTGTTATTGGAGAACTACTGGAACGGAAGCATTTTTGATTACCGAAATGTATGGACATTAAACAATAACAATGTATCTTCAACTTCCGAACAAGTTATTTTGCTTTATTTCAGACAACATTCAATAGGTCTGCCTGCCAAGTCGGTATCGTGCGGCTTCACCATCTACCACGCACTAATAATTACTTTTACCACGTCCGAATTCCTCTGAAACTTTTAAATGGATGTTGAAGATCAGTTCCAATTATATGCAGGGAAACGTTGGGAAAAAACTCTAAATTGGATGCCAAATGGTGGATGGATGTGTTTCTCTGCCAGATGGGATGGCTTTTCTAGTATGGATCGAAGTATGGCCATTCAGATTGGCTACCTGCTCGTAATCGGTTACTGGCTTCAGCCTCAGTGGAAGGATGAGAGCGCTAACTCGTGTATTGCTTGATCCCTGCAAATCAAGGTGCCAAAAACTCCATCATTTTTTACCCACTATAATACTGGAAGCACACGCGTTCCTTCTCATCGTTTTGCGTATTACCCTTGACTATCAGCCGATACCAATCGACCCGCTTACCATGTTTCACCTGATGAGCGGGTCGTCAGGTATCGGCTGATGAACCATGAGTAGTAACCAAGGGTCGGCTGATATCGGCATCGAACCATAAGGCTGTGAGATTCGATAAGTATTAGTGTTCCTTTCTCATTAGCTGCGATTCAGTACGCTAAGGCTATCGCAACAGAGCTGAATGGCGAGAAAAAACAACTTCGACGGCTCTCAAACTCGCTCTAGTTTTCTACAGGACCGTGTATTATCTTATATCGTGACTCTCCAAAACATTGAGAAAACATGCTCGAGGCCAAAAATGCGAGGAGGCCGCGACACGTACTCACTTTAAATTGCACGCCACAGCTTGAACTGTGCGCACAGGGTGGAGAACATCCGTTGCGCGCGTCCGTCGAAAGTAGGTCACCCAAGCCCACTTCACGCGCGGCGCATCCACCGAGGTTTCAAATGACATTACAGTACCACCAAGTGACAGTGGAGCGAATGATTTGCATTTGTCCGTGTTATCTTCTCCAAGAGCTGGCTGCCGTGGAACAAACGCGAATCGCATGCCCCACTGACAACCGCGACGTCTGTCAAGTATCGCGAGTAGACCTGCCGCATGCGACGGCTGCGGCGTGACTTAGTTTCTACGGACGCGCGTAACGAAGCGCACCCCCACAGGGTGGAAGCCTCTAGGACGCTGGACTTGCAGCTGTTCCTCGCGCATACGTCGTTCGTACGTCGCACATCCGCACTTGCCAGGGAAGGGTCCCAAGTCGAAATGGCCATTCAAAATGAGACTTACACTGCTGGATATGTTTTTGTATGCTGAGTTCAAATTTGCTTTCCAAATTTGCTAAGCGTTTCTCTGAATGGAGTTATGAGGGTGATTTCAGGGAACTTAACAAAAGAAAACCTTGCTCTAGGAAATTGATGATTAGTTCTGGACAATGGTGAGCAAGTGAAGTGATATAAGTGGCTTGATGCAAGGGTAGAAGTTGAAGATGCGACTGAATAAACTTACCGCAAAGCCTCTCGGAGAGCTCCACGTTCACTTAATGTTGTATGTTTAATATCTCTGAAGTCATCGCGGAGGTCTGTGGCACAAGACTGAAAAGATATCCATTTTGTCTGCTGACATATTACAGCACGACGTAGATGATGAAAGCGTTCATCCACAGAAATAAAGGATTTTCGGACCTAACCATAACTGGCCTACTTTTGCGAGCTCATCAATACGACCAAAGTTTATCTTAGTGTCAATAGCATTTTATTCGTGAGAGCTACACTATTCGAAATGCTTGGCTTAAAGCTTAATGAAGTTCCTTAGAAGGAAGCAGTTGAAGGACTATGGGATAATTCTGTTTTTGGGATTTTTTACCACGTTTTATAATTTTGATGAACAATCGCACGCGATGTCCATCTTATTTCCATTTATTAGGCTTCTGCTTATTTCCAGAACGCCCATTGTCAGGCCGAAAAAACTGCTTAGACAGGGCATAATGAGGGTCAAAAACCGGTTGGCCGACGCAGTCATAAAGTGGACGTGTTATGCCGGCCTGGTTATTATTGCACTATTCACTGGACGAGACAGATAGTGCACTCGAATGAAAGGGGAGACGGGCGATAGGAACGATTTTGGGTAATCATTTGCCGCACGCGGCTGTCGCGGACCACTTGCTCGCCGTTATCACAGCTCTAGCGTTCTTCATACAGCTCAATC